TAAGCAAAACTGTTGCATCTGGCGCTCTGAAAGTCTCTATCTTCAACTGTGCGGTGAAGTTTATGGCCCAGCGCGGTCATTGGACCTTGATTTTTCGAAAATGAGACTAGAGCAGCAGTTTTGGTTACTAGATTCCGCTATCGAGAGATGAGTAATATGGTATTGATATGGATAAAGATTACTTTTCAAACAAAAAAAAAAAAAAAAAAAANACTAATGTGGTATAAAATCAGGTTAAGTAAGTAGTATTGGAATAAGCATTTGGATATGTTTGTGCATACAATGTGTTTTTTCTAATAAAAAAGCCGATAATTGATCTTTTAATTGAAATGTTTTAAGTCCATTTTATCTCGCGATCTCTTATCGCAGTTGGCCGCCGAGATCTTGTGATTTAACAGCTTGCGACTTCTTCCTTTGCGGCCAGGTGAGAGATATAAGGTCTACGCCAACAGGCCAAAGTCGATTCAAGATCTCCAAGATGGTATTCGTGAGGCTAGTGAGGGCATACAGCAGCCACTTTGCGATATAGGAAAATTTCATAAAAATGTTACGGTGCCGTAAGCGTAGCCGTGGCATACATTTAACTGACGATGTTTTCCATTATTATTATTGGCATAATACTGATATAAACAAACGATCATTTTTTCAAAAAATACAATTTTTCAGTAAATAGCAAAATAAGACCCCTAATTGGAAAGCCCTATATTTCTTTAATGACTAATGTGGTATAAAATCAGGTTAAGTAAGTAGTATTGGAATAAGCATTTGGATATGTTTGTGCATACAATGTGTTTTTTCTAATAAAAAAGCCGATAATTGATCTTTTAATTGAAATGTTTTAAGTCCATTTTATCTCGCGATCTCTTATCGCAGTTGGCCGCCGAGATCTTGTGATTTAACAGCTTGCGACTTCTTCCTTTGCGGCCAGGTGAGAGATATAAGGTCTACGCCAACAGGCCAAAGTCGATTCAAGATCTCCAAGATGGTATTCGTGAGGCTAGTGAGGGCATACAGCAGCCACTTTGCGATATAGGAAAATTTCATAAAAATGTTACGGTGCCGTAAGCGTAGCCGTGGCATACATTTAACTGACGATGTTTTCCATTATTATTATTGGCATAATACTGATATAAACAAACGATCATTTTTTCAAAAAATACAATTTTTCAGTAAATAGCAAACTAAGACCCTTATTGGAAAACCTTATATTTCTTTAATGACTAATGTGGTATAAAATCAGGTTAAGTAAGTAGTATTGGAATAAGCATTTGGATATGTTTGTGCATACAATGTGTTTTTTCTAATAAAAAAGCCGATAATTGCCGATGTAATCGTTGATAACCACTGTTAGTAATTGATAGATAAACAATTAACATTAATTGTAAAACTGATACTTTTATACGCTTGGAAAGCCCATTCATCAAATGATATGATAAATGCTTCATAATTAATGTCACTATGTGTCTGTGTATATAAACGATTACTCGAATTGTAATTCAATACTAGAAACAGCTGTGAAGAATTCGGAAATTCACACCACAGAATATAATCAATATGTATTTCCTATTTTCAATTATGGTAAAAAAATCGACAAAAAAATTCACCAAATTCACAAAAAAGCAAAAGAAGAAAAAAATAATCTTTTAGTTTTCATTAAATGAAAAATTTTCATTCAATATTTAATGACGAAACACCAAAGCGTTGAAATATCAAGTTAAACTGAGCTTAAATTAATCTTTGGTACTAAGAAAAATACTTGCTAAGGAAAATCCTGAGAAAAAAAACGAAAAAGTTTATTGTGTATGTGTGCGTTTGATGTTAGTATTAATCTATTTTTATTTTTAATTTATTTTATTTATTTTTTCTTGTAATAAATACAACTTTCCCTCAGTGAATGGGTTTTTATGACAGATTTGATTATTGGGATTTACATACATACACGTACATTGTATGTCGCCCTAACCGCATTTCCTCACAGAATAGTCTATTTACGTACAAGTGATTTCGGAGCAACTTCTTCATAAATCATAATGATGATAAAGTCTCATTATATTTTCTTTTTTATTTATTTAATTACAAATAATTATAATTTTAGCAAATCATTATTTTCCACTTCCGTTTGTATTATTAAATTATATTAATATAAATCGAATTGCAACATTGAAATTTCTCAGTTTATTGTTGAAGAATCAAAGGTGACTAATTACTCCGTGCGGTACAAAATGTAGCGAACGAAAGACGCCGTTCTGATATTTTGAGCTGATATATTATAAATATTGGTCTAGTAAAAAGTAATCCATTATCTGGCATTAAATTGAAGAATTATTTTAGCAACTCATATCACTATTGTCGAAAAATTGGCATTATCGATTTTCACAGGCTTCTCTCTTAAAGCTATTTCAAAAACAGCCAAAGACGGGAACAGGTTGTCATCACTGGGTGCGAGATTTGGACTGTATAATGGAAGCATAAGAGCCTCCCAAGCAAACAATCGGAGCTTCTGGCGAGTCATTATCGATGTGTGTGGTCTGACATTGCCCTGATGAAATAGTATTATCCTTTTGTTGGCCAAAGCTGGGCGGCTACTTCCTTTAAATGATCTAATTGCTGACCGCACAGATCCGAATTAGGAATTTGTTGGATTGCACCTTATAATAGTAGTTTCTTTGCCAATCTCATCAAGCCCATAAAAAACCTTTCTGGACGTCAATTATGGCTCGGAGATTGCATATGACGGCTCAGTGGCGTTTTCATTTGTTGGTGCTGTAAGTGATCCAATTTTCATCACCATTTACCGTCCGGCTTCAGAAATGGGTCGATTTCCTCGCGATTCACGATTCACACGTGTAGTGCTCAATCGCAACGTTGCGAGGTAGGTAGCCCGATTTCTTTCAACTATGTCGCTGATACTCATCCTCCCAGTTATTTTTGTGAAAACTAATATTTTCGCTTGCAGCTGTATGTAAGAAGCTTGAGGTGCCAGTTCAACTTTGGAAATAAATATGTCGTCCGTCTATTACAATAAGATCTATCTTGAGATAGTCTAGTAGCTTGATGGATTTTCTTGTGCGGGATAATCTAGTACTACAGACAACATATTTTAGGTACCGGCGAGGTCGATCAACGTCAAGCCGCTTGGAAGTGCTTCGCCATGGAGGCTGAGTTTTCCGACAGTTGTGTCGAAGATGCCTTCCTTGTCTACATTGGCGTTAAGCTCGCCAGGAAGAATTCTCATATCGCGGCGGAGACAGTGCTCGTGGTCACGTAATTTTTTTCTACGGCTAGACTTTCTTCCAACGGTTTGAATGCCAGAACTCAGCGACGGAGTCTCTTCCCACCACTTATTGTGAAATCGCGCTACCTTATATGACCTATAATTTATACTACAGGTCAAAAACCTTGCATAAAACTTCGCTATACGAGGTTTGATTGTTTACACATTTAGATAGCGTGCCGCTAGCTTCAATACCTGCGCCCGCTTGCACCTTCACCTCTGGTGTGCAGACGCTACAATTAGACTTCAGAGGACCTATAAACCGAACTCCATTGAAGTTTCTTCTTTTTGAGCCGTAACCCAAGTCCACATACCGGTTAGTAACCGAATATTGTACAAGGGTTAGTCACGTTTCCAGGGTGCGCGACGTAGATGTAAGAGTAGGAATTGAGTATGGCTCATCCCATTACACTTCTTAGATAGCGATAACCAATGGACTGATGCCTTTTAGTCTAGCTCGACGTTGTCGTAGGAAATTGATAATTTTTCAACATACATATGGTTGCCGGGGTAGCGGAGTGGTTGGCATTGCGTACTGCCATTCGGTAGACACGGGTTCAAATCCTGGTGTCCTACTAACATTCAAAAAGGAATAGAAAATTGATTTTAATAATAAATTAAATAAAAAATTTTCTAATTGCAATTGAAATAAAGCGGCTCATAAAAAAAACCATCGGCCGTTCGGCGGCGCCTTAGTATAAACTGCAGGCCTTTCCATTTATTGGAAAAACCTCAAGACGCAAAACCGAAAATTGGAGGAGGAGCTCGGCCGAAAAGATGCTTCAGCGGTTACAAAGCGCCAATTATATAAATATATATGTAAGTATAAGTAAGTATGTATAGAATGTGGGAGGTCTTGGTATTATTTGAGGATAATAAATATATATATTCTTACAAACACATACAAGCATACATAATTATTGTTTAAGGAAATTTGTTTTTGTTGTTTTATCACTTTATTTATACATTCTAATAAGTGTGTGTGTGTGTTTGTGTGTGGGTGTGTGCTTAGCAATCATAAAGAATATCAAAACCATGTGATAACGATCGGCAGTTGCTTTAAAGACGATAACGCCAAGATGCTGACGCTGAGCGAAGAAAAAAATGAGTAAAGCATATAACAAAAAACTCAGTTAAATAATGTACACCACAGTTATGTTCTCGTGAAGTTATAAATGCGAGCATTGCATGACGTTACGAATTTGTTGCTAATCGACGGAGACGTTAATGACTATTTAACTTGTCGCGAAATCATTGATAATATTTATATGTATGTATAGAAAAAAAGCAAAAAAAAAATAAAAATAAAAATTTAAAATAATTACAAAAACAGCTACGTGTAGTCATAGTAAAACGTCATATCAATCAATGGGCGCGTTCAGTGAAATCTGGATTAATGACGATCAAATATAAAGATAACAACCGCAATACCGCTACGAGCGTTAAATGAGCTAATAAAATTATAAACATTAAAAAAAAAAACAAAAACAATGTGCAACAACAACTTCAACAACTTCGACAATGAAATAAGGCAAAAAATGAAAAATGAATTAAAGCACAACAAAAACAAAAACAAAAAACAAAAAACAAAAAAACCACAGTTAAGAGTTTGCCTCGCAGCTGCAGCGTCGCTGTCAACTGTAAAGTTGTTGGCACGTTGTCAAGATTGTTGTTGCCATTGTTAGCAGTGTCGCTGTTTGGCTAAAGCTTTATGATGGCTTACTCCGAACACGACCCGTTCAGAACGAGTTTAGAGCGTGTCGCGTGTGGAGGTGTACAAATAGATTGGTGCGTGCTATTGCAGTGATCGCGAACGAGGTTGCACAGAATTGGCAGTGGAAACTTTTCATTTGTTTGTACCCACGGTGCGGATACGTTACGGCAGACGCATAGCCTGCGAGCAAAAAACTTATTAATTTCAAATTTATGTACAACGTATATGCAGACGCGTGCACCATTTGCAATAAATATTATTAAAGTATAAGGATAAATGCTTCAAAGTGCGTAAAATTGTGTAAAATACATATACATATACACACTATTTGCCGACATTTGCATGGAAACCAAAAAAGTGTCAGCAATTAAATGTGAAATTTCTTGTAACTGCTGTTGTCGGGCATGTTGTAAAAAGCCTCTCATACCATTAGTGACCATTGAGCCGAAGAAAGTTTTTATGGAACGGACGTTTTGAAAGAAAAGAATAATTAAAAAGCGAGAAAAATAAATTGGGTGATTTTATTTGAATATTTATTAAGTCGGCACAGCAAAACGAGCTAATTTATTTGTAATTTATTTATAAAAATAATTAAAGCCCGAAAGTTGACCAAAAGAGAAGGCGTAAAATTTGTGTGCATTGTAAGTAATCAAATTTATTTTTAGCCTTATTTATTATTCAAAGAGTTTAAAATATTTCTAATTTTTTTTTATTTTTTATTAGACTTTAATGCAAATGTTTGAATGTTTAAGCAGCAGGTAAAAATCAGAACGAAGAGACTGACAATAATTTTTTTTTTTAATAATTTAGTGTGTGGTGAAATGGAAAATATATAGATATATTAAAAAATTATTGTTCATCTATGAAATTTCTAGAAATTCGAGTTTTCTGCTTTTTTATATGTTTTAATCAGAGATATTCTACTAACGAAACGATATTATTTTGTTTTACAAATATGAGAAAATATACTTAACGAAATTATTTTGTTTCGGGGCTATGTTATTGAAACGAAATGAAATTGTTAATGTTGAGACCGCTAAAAAATCATTAGTAACGTTAAGTTTAGCCAGTAGGCCAAGTTCCTCTAAAATTTTTTTTTAAACAAAATTTTTTATTAAAATTTTACTTTATCTATTTTAAAACTTGCTGCTGAAACACGTCTCTTTTGTTGGTGAGTGACACGATAACTGTAAAACGAATCGTCTGCAAGCAAAAATCAAAACGGTTTCTTATTGTGTATCACATTGCCAATGAAATGAAACACTTCTTAATTTTTTTTTACTTTTTTTCAATTTTAATGGTTTATAAATTTTTATTAATAACAATGAGAATTTTTGGGGGTAGCACAGACTGTAGAGAGACATTTTAGAAGTAAAATACTGTTTAGTTTTTGTTGATATTTTTTATAGGTTCTAGATAAGAGTGTCACCCAGTTGAACAAACGTGGTTACGAGAAAAAGGCGATTAAAGTATTTGTTCGGCTGGATTTATCGCTTGACGCGCTCAGCTCTCCCCTTTTCCATACTTACTTCTTGGTTTTGCGGACCTTATAGCAATTTACAGGAAAAACTTTTCGTTTTCTTTTAAAAAAATTTTAGAGGAACCTGGCCTTAAATTGACTGCTTGCTATGCTCTTAACAGCACACTTCAATTTTAACATTTAACATTGTCTGTTAACGAGTTAAAATTTTCTGTTAACGATTTAACATTATCTGTTAACGATTTAAAATTATCTGTTAACGATTTAACATTATCTGTTAACAATTTAACATTATCTGTTAACGATTTAACAATATCTGTTGTCGATTTAGCATTATCTGTTAACGATTTAACATTATATGTTAACGATTTAACATTATCTGTTAACGATTTATCATTATCTGTTAACGATTTATCATTATCTGTTAACGATTTAACATTATCTGTTATTGATTTAAAATTATCTGTTAACGATTTAACATTATCTGTTAACGATTTACCATTGTTTTAACATTAACAATTTAACATAATCTGTTAACGATTTAACATTATCTGTTAACGATTTAAAATTATCTGTCAACGATTGGACCTAAACGACAGCATTTCTATTCGGTTAAAAACGAAATAAACCTTATTTCAGAAGCAACATTTCCAAGTTTTATCGTTACGATGCAGATTTGGTTTTAAAAGAGCCACCAATGAACTCATTATTCTGCTTGAAAGCTCTCGATCACTGCTCTTATCTTTTTTATGCTCGGCTGTACTGTGCACAGTGTATATTAGATTTGTTCGGCTAACGACATTATATAAATATATATCAAACTTCATGGAATTAAAAACGAAACAATTTAGTCACATCTGTCTGTCCGTCTGCACGTGTACACGATATGTTGTGTGGAAACGCCATGGCAAATGAGTGAAACCGTACCAAGTTCACGCCAACAGTAATATTTGAAAGTACGAAAATTGTAAATAAACTATTAGAAGTCATATTTGCTAGGGACGATCGCATTAAGTGAAAAACCTTAGTACAAGTTCGATATCCGTTGAGTTGCTTAAGTTCGCAGTGATGCTTTTGTAAGAAAGCTTAAATTTCTAAGTGAAGTAAAAGCTTCCAAGCGATGTTTTAATATTAAAGCTTATTCAAGATAAAAATTTTCCTTTTCTGGGGTGACAATGCTTTACTTATTCCACAACTGAAACCTAATCTCAGTATTTTTATTCGCAAATTGAACTTTTCGTTTATTCCACATCTGAATCTCAGTTTGCGAATTTTTTCTTCGATAATTTGATTTTAATTGTTTATGAATATAATAAGTGTGTGCAATGGATTCCAAACATCTGCCAAACAATTTTCAAACGATTTCGACAACAAGCCTGTCATTCCCATTTAACTGAACCCGAAGTTAAACTTGCTTTTAATTTTAAAATTGAACTTTTAGACGAGGCGCATGTAGCCAGCTAAAATTGTAATTAATTTTGGTAAATTTGGGAAATTTTACTTCTTCTTTCTTTTTTGTCTTGCCGGTCTTAACCCATCTCTCAAATTGTCATTTCATTTTTTTTTTCGAATACTAAAAATCCACTAAAAAATACTTGTTTTTTAATCTGATCGGAAATATTCTGTGGTTTGAAATAAATTAAAAATGTCGCTTTATTTTCTAATGGCTTTTGGTTTCTATATTTTTATAATTTTCGAAATTATTCGAAAATAAAGATTCTACGCGGTTTGTATTTTAAATCCGTTACGGGTCTGATTTGGAATGCATGACGCGTTTTGCTTTGATTATGCCTCAGCATTAAATTGAAAATGTATAAATACATACATACATGTGTACACCCGACTTATGAAGAGTTAAGAAATTCAAAATTACAACTTTCCAAAACTCTAATATGTTTATTCATCAGAAACCTATTTTAGACTCGTTAGCATGAGAGCGTGTTTTGCTATTTGCTTTGCTCTCCAATTATACGGAAGAACGTATTTATGTATGTTCTCACAATGAAATTGTGAATATAGTTAAAAAATTGAAATATGCATTCTAATTAAATATTGTAATTTTTACAAGCACACAAGGTCACACTTGTTCGATTGACCGTAATAAATGTTGTTTATAGAGAAATACCTTTTCTCGTTTGCAACTGAACGATTTTTATGTGCGAGTATTTGTATTACCAGCCAAGCTTATTTGAATGTTCATATTATTGAAGGTAGCCGTCAAGGTATTAAATTAATTTTGTGTTATAAAATTTATGACAATTTTACATACATACAATATATACTTATGTATTTCCTACTTCATTTTTAATAATGTAGAGACAATATACATATATACATTAATTTAAACGAATAATGATTTATAAATTTATGGTGCGACTTATCAACAGAAATGCACAGCAAAATTTAAATGAACTATGTATGTAGGTAGATATGTATGTATGTGTACAAGCCGCACGGTAGGCGCTCATAACTGATTAATATGCGTTAAGTGTTTCACATATGATTGGGGTTTTTACGTTATGTAGAGATTAAGTTAAAAAAATAACCAAAAGAATCTTGGTAATGAAACCGAAAATAAAAATAAAAATAATAATATTAATTTATCAAAAATTCCTGCTCAGGAAATCGAAAAATCTGTTTGGATGACTACTTAAAAAATCATAAAAAATTTAACAATAAAAAATTGATTGTTGGCTGTGTGGCCGTTTTGTTCAAACGAAAGGTCGTCCACATCAACATCTTCACTAAAAAGTCATCAATCATGGCACTATAACGTGCTGTTGTTGTTGTTGTAACCGCAAAATTATTCCCCAAAGTACTTTTTGGGGAATGTTGCGGGAGTGACAGTCCTTGGCCAGATAAAAATCCGTGTCGTTCCGGTATAAAGACCCAACTGTCGCGGGAACTATTGGATTTTAGTCGCCACTTACGACAGGCTTGCCTTACCGCGGGTAAATTCTTGAGCCCCTAACCAGCAGGGGGTACTATAACGTGCCCATTGACTGTAGCATTATGGCCTGTCTACACTTTTGAAGAAATCTGAACCATAGAGCATGCCAAACAGTGACATTTAGCGGCGTCGCAACAATGGTTTGTTTATTTACATCATTCCAAATTCGTTGAACAGTGTTTTTTCTTGTGAAAATCGGTATTGGTGACCAATTTACCAAACGTACGATTGACGATTGGATTATTTTTCAAAATCCTGCTACAAAATCTTCCAAAAAGTACAATGGTTGCGCGTGATAGCGGCTGATATTTGATATCAGGGGTAGAAAAGAATTCGTAATAGGCAAAACGCCAACCAGTCTATCTTGTAAACCACTGTATAGAGAACACAATTCGTTAAAAATTTATATTTATAATTCACATGGATTCGTGTGACTTCGAACCCTTCGTATTAGTTCGATACCCGCCAGACTGTTTAAGTTCCCAACAATGCTTTTGTAAGAAAACTTCGAGTTTTTTAGTATAGCAAAAGCATCTCAGCATTATTTTAAAATGAAAGCTTTTTCACTATTATTGTCGTCAGCTGGGGTTGCAAATTCCACATCTGAATCCCAATCTTTGTATTTTTATTCACCAAACTGGACCTGATCTTTTTGTTTTTTCTTTTTGGAATAATGCCTTTTTAGTTGTTTATTCCGCATCTTAAGGGGCACACCTAGTGTAATGGCCTGAAAAAGGTGATTTTTGTTAATTTTTATTAAAAAAAAACACTTTATCAATTATTTAAAAATTTTAAGAATATATTTATACATCTTTTAAGAATATATAGTGAAATTTTTGTAGAAAAAAAATTAAATATTTTTTAAGTTATAGACGATCTCCAACGGCGCGAAAAAAAGGTCCTTCACTGCTGCAGTGATTCCGGCCTTCTTCGTGGATGAAATTTAAAAATCAAATTCTCTACTACAATAGATCATATTGTCCGTACGTAAATTCAAAAATTGACAATATGGCGTCGTTTAAAAAAAAAAAATAGTCGAATTTCACCCAATATTTTGGTCATTTTTGGTCTGCCAAAATTTGGTTTTTTGAGCAAATCAAAAATCGATAGGTCATTGTACGGAGAACTATATATAGAACATGCAAAAAAAATTCGTTAGTGATCGGATCATTTGTTTTTGAGTAATCACCGCAGCAAATTCGGAAAATGCT